TGGCAGGCTCAAACCCAGAACCTCAATCAAGGGCTGATACCAAATGAGAGACTCCCCCCTGGGCACACAGAAAACTGGGCGACTTGGAAGGCGCTGAACAGACTGCTCTGGCACCACGAGATGCAGAGCCAACCTTCAGAAATGGGGCCACAAAGTGGAATCCACGACATGCGAGTGTGGAAAGAGCAAACCACTGACCACCTGCTGCAATGCAACCTGAGCCCTGCCACATGCACGATGGAGGACCCTCTTGCGGCAACACCAGAGGCACTCCAAGTGGCCAGATACTGGTCAAAGGACATTTAATCAGCTACCAAGTTTGCAAAATTTGTGTTTTTTTAATCTGTTTGTTTGTTTTGTTCTGTTAGAAATGTAATACAATGTTCTGGTTGCGGATGACACGATAAATAAAATAGTCGGTTGGTGTTCACAGTTGGATAGTACTAGATAGGAGAATTGGGTTAATCTTTTGTAGTATTCAAGGGCTAGAGGAATTAGCCAGGAATACTGACAGTGGGAACAGGACCTTGCTTATGGTCTGTTTCTTTTATTCCTGAGGAAGGCTAGGCCAAGGTTGTTTGGCTAGATTCCAGAAAGTGGGAATTTGGTTTGGAATTATCATCAGAGATTAGTTTCCTGAGATAATCTCCTGTTTGTTAACTCTAGATTTGAACCCAGTACCCATCTAAGAATTGTACATCAAACGTATCCAAAAGCCTTTGTACCATAAACTTACAGAAACCATTACGCATTTGTACCAGAAGAGTTTAAGCCTGTTAAATAAACATTTTATTATAGTTAACACTTTACAACAGCCTGTGTGCGAACGTCATTGGTATTTAAACCCTCTGAAGAAAATAAACACTATAGTAACAGTCAGAAGGGTGTTACTAAGTATCCTCTCCACACATACAACTCAGCCTGAATACTAAGCAATAAGGTGGCAGCGTACCCAATTGAAGAAGCCTTTTGAAAACCTCTCAGTTCAGACGTCATTCAAATATATCTATACACAGTTATATCTTTCCCTGTTTTATCAATTTCCCTCCTGTGATATTCCTTGTAATTGATGGCACAGTAGTGTGATCCTTAGTTTGAAATTCCTTATAATTGTTGGTAGCTTGTGTGATTCACTATTTCAGAATTCCCTGTTCCTTCTCCCTGCTAAAAGAAGCTTTTTGGTGAGAGGCTTCGTTATACCTGTCATAGATGTTGGTGAAACGTCAGGAGAGAATGCTTCTGGAACATGGCCAGACAGCCCGGAAAACACGCAGCAACCCAGATTCATACCTGTCTGTGGGATCGATGAGGGCCACCTCTCGCAGCAGCAGTGGGGCTTCGCTGGGTATGTAGATCCCCGGGTGGGTGCTGGTCTTTCCCAGGTAGCGGTAATGCTGGGGGAGAAAGAGAGCTGGGATGAGACCTGAGGGTGCGAGACTACAAAGCCCATCAGCCACAGCGGACAGGGAAGCTCTGATCGCCAAACACAGTCTCTCACCCATCTCCCCTGCACACCCTTTGGCAGCTCTTTTCCTATCTCCCCATCGTAAAGGCAACTCAGGTTTGAGTTCCCACTCAGTCTCAACACTCCCTCGGTGACGCTTTTCAGCTTGGACTACCTCGTAAGGCTGTTGTGGGAAGAAAACTCAATATGAAAAAAAAAAACCCCACACACATTTGGGTTTGGAGGCAAACGATAAGCAATTGCTCAATTTAATACAGTTTATTTTATATCGACAGATTTATTATTTTAAATCTTATTAGCAAGGGTTTATGTCAAATCGTTGTGTAAATGTAGATTGTCATGTTTTTATATGCTAATGTATTGTGTATTTTATGTGTGCTGCACTTTGGAGTGCTTTTGTGAGCCACCCCAAGTCCCTTCAGGGAAATGGTGGTGGGATATAAATACATTTTTATTATTAATTAATTATTATTATTTGAGTGAGCTTTTTCTGCAGGGCAGGGGCCCATTTTGTCTCTTTCAACTCTATTACTGTATTTACTTGAATCTACTGCATATATTCATGTATAAGCCGAGTTTTTCAGCCCCTTTTTAGGTTGAAAAAGCCCCTCCTCGGCTTATACGCAAGTCAAAGTTATTTATTATTTTACTATTTTACTCTATTAGTATTACGTTTATTATTTTGCTCATTTATTATTATTATTATTATTACATTTATTATTTTACTCTGTTATTATTATTACTGCATTTATTATTTTACTCTATTATTATTATTGCATGTATTATTTTACTCTTATTGTTATTGTTGCATTTATTATATTACTCTATTTATTATTATATTGATTATTTTAATTTATTATTGTTATATTACATTTATTATTTTACTCTATTACTCTTGTTATTTTACTTATTAGTATTACATTTATTATTTTACTCTATTATTACATTTATTATTTTACTCTATTATTATTATGTTTATCATTTTACTTTATTATTGTTATTATTACATTTATTTTACTCTATTTATTATTATTAAATTTATTATTTTACTCTATTTATTATTGTTATATTATTATTATTATTATTATTATTATTATTATTATTATTATTATTACAATTCCATCATTTTACTCTCTTTAATATCATTGGAAAGGTACAGAAGCACATTTACCTTGAAAAAGGTTAGAATAATGGTTTAATCTGAGTTGGACGGTCTTATCTGACCAAAAAGGTCATGAGTTCGAAGCCAGCCTGGGTTGGAGTGGGTTTCCAACCAGTTGTGTGTAGCCTGTTGTCGACCTTTGCAACCTGAAAGACAGTTGCATCTGTCAAGTAGGAAAATAAGGTACCACCTTAAAAAAAGTGTGGGGAGGCTAAATTAACTGATTTATGAGGCCATAAAGAAGACTCCAGCAAAACATTCCAGTGGGGGAAGCATGCGGGGAATGTGGAAGTGCTTCATCAGCGTCGCAGATGGACGAGGAAAGTGACAGCTCCCCTGGTGGCCAGAAAAAGTTAAATAGCCTCTGTGTATGTCTGTATATGTTTGTATGTCAAAAATTGGCATTGAATGTTTGCCATATATGTGTAGACTGTAATCCGCCCTGAGTCCCCTGCGGGGTGAGAAGGGCGGAATATAAAAGCTGTAAATAAATAAATAAATACTCTTAAACTACAGTTTTATGTAAATATTCAAAAACATTGAACCTACTGATGCCTCAATTCATGCATTTCGCATCCCTGATAATAATGCAGATAACCATCCCCACCGTCCCTCCCTTTCCCGCTTAACTCCATCCTCCATCTGCTGCCCACTCACCACGTTCAGGCCCTGCAGGACGACCCAGTTCCGCTCCTTGATGACTTGCACCACCTGGCCTTGCTTGCCGGTATCCTTCCCTTTCAAGATCTGGACCTGCAGGCAGAAATGGATGCACCTTGAAGAGAGTGTGGTAGCAGTCCAACCTCCACTTCCCACATTTAACTCAGCGCAACTTTGATATGTGCAAGAACGTTGTGGCCAAAGGAGGAAGGCCCCTGAGAGACTCACCATGTCACCCTTGAAGACCTTCCAGTCCTCCTCCTTCAAGGGCTCCACAAAGATCTTCTTCCGTCGAGTCCCAGGGGGGTTCTTGATCTTGTCGGCAAAGGATCCGGGCCGGTTCATGCCGTAGCGGTAGCCAGGCCACGGCACGAACTTCTCGGCCATGGCAAGGACGGCCGATAGCCTCATGGCTCCTGGAAAAAAAGGGGAGAAGGTCAGCCATTGCATTGCCATCCGCATTATTGGTTCAATTCATTCCTCCGGGACCGGAGACAGAGGGTGGAGTGGTGAGGCCAAAGCTCTGAGAGCTCCTGCCTTTGCTGTGGAGTTCCCCAGGGTGCTCTCCTCTCGCCCCTGTTATTTAACATCTATGTCCAGCCACTTGCTGGACTGGTGTGGAGCTTTGGCACAGAGTGCTACCAGTATGCAGATGATACCCAGCTACTCTTGCGTCTCGAACCTGGGACAACCATCTATATATATAAATTTGTTAGGGGCATCCAACGAGGAAACAAAACTCAAAAACCCCCCAACGAAACTTAACCAAAATTCCCATGCCCATAACACAACCCACAAGGTACAAACATATCTACTCAAAATGAAAAACAACACAACAACACACTCACAAAACGGCAAAACAACAAAACTCAAAAAAACCCCAACGAAACTTAACCAAAATTCCCATGCCCATAACACAACCCACAAGGTACAAACATATCTACTCAAAATGAAAAACAACACAACAACACACTCACAAAACGGCAAAACACCAAAACTCAAAAATCCCCCAACGAAACTTAACTAAAATCCCCGTGCCCATAACACAACCCACAAGGTACAAACATATCTACTCAAAATGAAAAACAACACAACAACACACTCACAAAACGGCAAAAGGATAAAACTCTAAAAAAACCAACGAAACTTAACCAAATTCCCATGCTCATAACACAACCCACAAGGTACAAACATATTACTCAAAATGAAAAACAACACAACATCACACTCAAAACGGCAAAAAAACAAAACTCAAAAAAACCCCAACGAAACTTAACCAAAATTCCCATGCCCATAACACAACCCACAAGGTACAAACATATCTACTCAAAATGAAAAACAACACAACAACACACTCACAAAACGGCAAAACAACTGAGCATGCGCATTGGCGCCCAGCCGCAAGTTCCCTGGCGCGCGCACATGGCCTTCCGGCCAACGTTCCCTCTGCGGAAACCATGCCCACTCCAAGCCCCGCCGCGCCGCTTCCCGCACACACACACCCCCTGCCACACACACACACGCAACCCCACGCTCCATCACTCCCCCGCCGCCGCACACACACGCAACCCCACACTCCATCACTTCCCCCGCTGCCGCACGCACACACGCAACCCCCCCCCCCCCCCCCCCCCCCCCCCCCCCCCCCCCCCCCCCCCCCCCCCCCCCGCCGCACACACACACGCAACCCCACTCCCCCCGCCGCCGCACACACACACACAACCCCACGCTCCATCACTCCCCCCGCCGCTGCACACACACACACACAACCCCACGCTCCATCACTCCCCCACCCCAATCTTCCCTCCTTTTACTTCACGCCACCTCCAAACCCCACCCCGCCCCTTCCCGCCCTGTCAAAATCTAGGAAAGACAGGAAGGAAGGAAAGAAGGAAGAAAGAGAAAGGGAGGTAAAGAAAAAGGGGGAAGGAAGGAAAGTTAGAGAAAGAAGGAAGAAGAAAAGGAAAGAAAAGGAAAGATGGAAGGAAAGAAAAGAGAGACAGCAGAAAAGAAAGAAAAAGGGGGAAGGAAGGAAAGAGATAGAGAAAGAAGAGGAGAAGGAAAGATGGGAGGGAAGGAAGGAAGGAAGGAGGGAAAGAAGGAGAGAAAGAGGGAAGATTGGCCACAGCAACACGTGGCGGGTAAAGGTTGTTATTTCTATTATTATTATTATTATTATTATTATTATTATTATTATTATTATGCTATTGTTCCTATGAGACCCTGGAGGAATGGGAGAGGTGTCAGGTCCCAGAGGCAATGCATTGCATTATTGTTATTGTTATGATGGTGGTAAAATAAAAGGAAATAAAAAGTGAAAGAAGGAAGCAAACAGGGAGGGAAGAAAGGCAAAGGAAGAAAGGGGGAGGGAATGAAGGAAAGAGAGAAGGATGAAACCAAGTAGTGAAAGAAAGAAAGAGGTAGAGAAGGAAGAAAGGAGAGAAAGGGGGAGGAAAAGGGGAAAGGAATAGGTAGGGACCTCTCTTTCATAATAGTCCAGATATCTACCTCAACTTTGATAAGTTTTACTATAGGCCACAGCAACGCGTGGCAGGGCACAGCTAGTGATTCCTGAGAACTTTAAGCTGTGTTTGGAAGCAGTGAGGAGTTGGCTGCGAGCGAGCAGACTAAAAGTCAATCCTGCAAAAAATGAGATACTCTGGCCCGGCCAGCCGCCAGAATTAACCCAGTCTCTGCCTGATTTCGACGGGGAAGCTCTGGTTCCGCCTGCCACTGTTAAAAGCCTTGGGGTTGTGTTGGACTCATCGCTGACGATGGAGGCCCAGATCACTGCCATAAGTAAACAGGTCTTTTTTCATCTTCGCCAGGCAAGGAAATTGGCATCCTACCTTTCGGTAGAAGCATTGGCAACCGTAATCCACGCAACAGTCACCACGAGGTTGGACTATTGCAATGCCTTATATGCCGGCCTTCCGAAGTCAACGACCCAGAAGATTCGGATGGTCCAAAATGTGGCAGCCAGGCTGCTAGCGGGATCATCTATAAGATCGCATATTACACCAATTCTGCAACAACTGCATTGGCTACCAAGAGAAGATTGGATCTCTTACAAGATCCTGATCCTGACATTTAGAGCTCAAAATGGCCAAGGACCTTTATATCTTAGGGACCGCCTCATTCCTTTTCCCCATCAGTGGTCACCTCGATCCACCCAGGAAAATCTCCTCTACATACCGGGTCCTAGGGAGGCACATTTGGAAGCTACACGGCGTAGAGCTTTTTCGACCTATGCTCCAATTCTGTGGAACTCATTGCCTCCATATATTAGAGCAATGTCGGAGTTGCAACCTTTTGCAAAGGCACTCAAGACTTGGCCGTTTGGCTGTGCATTTAAGTAACCGGATCAAATTTTGCCATAGTCACTGCTGAATGTTTTTATGTTGAATGTTTTTATGTTGAATGTTTTATGTTGTGTATAAGCTATTTTAAATTGTAAGTCGCTCGGAGCACCTTGGTGGAGAGCGACTAATAAAGAAATAAAGTGATGATGATGATGATGATGATTATTATTATTATTGCAGGGTAGACTTAGAGGTAACACCTCCCATGTGGTATAGAGTGTGGAAACTGTCAGGTAAGTCCTTTAACAATATCACTTTGGTAATAATATTTTATCTATTTATTTATTTTATATAATATATAAATATTATAGATCATAATATATTATTATAATATTAAAATAATATAATATTATCTATATAAATAAAAATGTAATGTTCGTTCGTGATACCATCAGAACTCAAAAACCACTGGGGGAATTGACACCAAATTTGGACACAAGACACCTAACAACCCAATGTATGTCCTCCACTCAAAAAAAATGATTTTGTCATTTGGGAATTGTCGTTGCTGGGATTTATAGTTTACCTACAATCAAAGAGCATTCTGAACTCCACCAATGATGGAATTGGGCCAAACGTAGCACACAGGGTTCCCATGATCAACAGAAAAAACTGGAAGGGTTTGGTGGACATTGACCTTGAGTTTGGGAATTGTAGTTCACCCACATCCAGAGAGCACAGTGGACTCAAACAATGATGGATCTGGACCAAACTTGGCACGAAATACTCAATATGCCCAAATGTGAACACTGGTGGAGTTTAGGGAAAATAGACCTTGACATTTGGGAGTTGTAGTTGCTGGGATTTATAGTTCACCTACAATCAAAGAGCATTCTGAACTCCACCAATGATGGAATTGAACCAAACATGGGATACAGGACTTCCATGACCAACAGAACACACTGGAAGGGTTTGGTGGGCATTGACCTTGAGTTTGGGAGTTATAGTTCACCTACGTCCAGAGAGCACTGTGGATTCAAACAATGATGAATCTGGACCAAACTTCACTCAATATGCCCAAATGTGAGTTTGGGGAGTTTGGGGAAAATAGACCTTGACCTTTGGGAGTTGTAGTTACTAGGATTTATAGTTCACCTACAATCAAAGATTATTCTGAACTCCACCAACGATAGAATTGGGCCAAACTTGGCACACAGAACCCCATGACCAACAGAAAATACTGTGTTTTCTGATGGCCTTTGGTGACCCCTCTGACATCCCCTCGCCACCCCTCCAGGGGTCCCAACCCTCAGGTTGAGAAACGCTGTTCTAGAGGCATTTTCTCCTGACATTTCACCTGCATCTATGGCAAACATCCTCAGAGGTAGTGAGGTCTGTTGGAACTAGGAAAATGGGTTTATATATATCTGTGGAATGACCAGGGAGGGGCAAAGAACTCTTGTCTGTTGGAGCTAGGTGTGAATGTTTCGACTGACCACCTTGATTAGCATTTGATGGCATGGCAGGGCCTGGGACAATCTTTTGTTGAGAGGTGATAAGGTGTGCCAGGTTGTTTCCCTTCTGTTGTTTTGCTGTTGGAATTTTAGAGGTTTTTTTAAATACTGGTAGCCAGATTTTGTTCATTTTCATGGTTTTCTGAAATTGTCCACATGCTTGTGGATTTCAGTGGCTTCTTTGTGTAGTCTGACATGGTGGTTGTGAGAGTGAAGGACATACATTGGGTTGTTAGGTGTCTTGTGTCCAAATTTGGTGTCAATTTGTCCAGTAGTTTTTGAGTTCTGTTAATCCCACAAACGAACATTAATTTTTATTTATATAGACTAGCCATCCCCTGCCACGCGTTGCTGAGGCCCACATGGGGATTCTGTGTGGGAGGTTTGGCCCAATTCTGTCAGTGGGGTTCGGAATGCTATGTGATTGTAGGTGAATCTAGACATAGTTTTCTAAGATTTACAGAGACACTCGCCGGAACACCCCAGCAAGCGAGAGTCCAAAAGTGGCAGGCTCAAACCCAGAACCTCAACCAATGGCTGATACCAAATGAGAGACTCCCCCCTGGGCACACAGAGGCCTGGGCGACTTGGAAGGCGCTGAACAGACTGTGCTCTGGCACCACGAGATGCAGAGCCAACCTTCAGAAATGGGGCTACAAAGTGGAATCCACGACATGCGAGTGTGGAGAGGAGCAAACCACTGACCACCTGCTGTAATGCAACCTGAGCCCTGCCACACGCATGATGGAGGACCTTCTTGCGGCAACACCAGAAGCACTCCAAGTGGCCAGATATTGGTCAAAGGACATTTAATCAACTCTCATACTCACAAATGTTGTATTTTGTCTGTTTGTTTGCTTTGTTCTGTTAGAAATGTAATATAATTGACTGGTTGCTCTGACACGACAAATAAAAGCATATAGTCTAAAGCATCTCTTTGGTCTGAGAGTCTAATGGAGCCACTAAAGCAATCTGTTTCTACTGACTTCTGCAACTCATACAGTTTCTAAAAATGGAATCTGAGCTCTGAATAGTCCCAGATCTGATCATATGGTCTGCAGCTCCTCTCACAACAGAAGAGTTAAGGAAAACTGCATACACACATATACAATACAATGAGCAATCTGAATAATATACAAACTAGTAGAGGCATGCTCTTTCCAATAGGCTGGCCATCTATTGGGAGGGCTTTGATGGTGCCCTTCTTTCTAGCAGAATGGGGATGGACTGGATGGCCCTTGGGGATCCCTTCCAACTCTAGGATTCAATGGAAGGGCTTCCCTTGGGAGGAAGAAGGGATCTCCCATTGCAAGGTCACTCACTAGTGGTCTCTATATATTGGGCTTGCTTACCTTTCTCTTGCTCCGGCTGCAGGCGCACCCCACGCGAGAGAGCTAAGCGGAAGAGGCGGGGTCAGCCGCGGTGCACTCTGGGATTTGTAGTTTTGGGGAGGGCGGGGCTTTGATTGGGCAGAGCTACTCAGAAACAGAGTGCAATGCATTGCAAGGGAAAGGGTCGTACTAGTACAAACCTACTTTATCACAATCCATTTTAAATCCGGTTTCTGCCTCCTGCAGAATCCTGGGATTTGTAGTTTAGTGAGGCTTTTTAAGACTCCTCCCTAAACTACAAACCCCAGAATTCTGCAGGAGGCAGAAACCGGATTTAAAGCGGATTCATTCCCTACTGTGATGAGGTTCATAATAGTTTATGCAAAAACTACACAGCTACATTGTGATTTTTGCAACTAACTGCAAAACCCAGTCTTCTGTGTGCCCAGGAGGGAGTCTCTCATTTGGTATCAGCCATTGGTTGAAGTTCTGGGTTTGAGCCTGCCACTTTTGGACTCTCGCTTGCTGAGGTGTTCCCAAAATTCCCACACAGAACTACCATACTTAAGGCCATCCAGTCCAACTCCCTTCACCAGGGCAAGAAAACGTAATCAAAGCCCTCCTGATGAAGAGCCATCCAGCCATAGATACAGATTCACACACAGAGATATAGTATCATAGATTTGAAAGGGACCCCTAAAGAAGGACAATGATATGTTGCCTGTTCCAGAGTAGGCAAACCAGACAATCTCCACATTAACACTGACAAAGGAAGGGCCGTAGCCAGAAAAAAATTTCGGGAGGGGTTGAAATTTTCGGGGGGGTTGGGGTTGAAAATTTCACGGGGGGGGGGGATTGAAACCTGCCTCCTAGCTCACGCTGAAGCAAAGAGCACAGCAGGGGGCAGAGCAGCCTTCAATAGCCTGCAGCTCCGCACCTGTCAACCACCTCCACCAAGTCTGGCCTCCTTAATGAGAGCATTCAACATCCCCCCCCCCCAAACTTGGTTGCTTCACTACTGTTCTGTCGCGCGCTGGGCCTGTAAATAATTGTCTTTAGAACAGGATGTGCAACCTTTGCCCAGCGGGAAGCCAGGGGGCCTAAAGAGAAGTTCTCAGAGGTTTCCACCACAAACAGTCTTTAGATGGCTTGAGAAGTACAACAAAGTCTTTTATTCATGAACAATCAAACAGAAACTTCTCTTGTCTTCAGTAAAGTTAAGCAAATGATTCCAAGCTTTTAGGCAACTGGTGAATTCCTAATCTTGCCCACGAAGGACAGGCAACTGTCTTCAATAACTTCTTCTTTAAAGGAAAATCCCTTTTTAACTTCTCCCAGGCTGACTGTAATCTAACCCTTACTGATGTGGGCTCCGCTACCGGGTCGAACTGCGTCTCGAACGCCGAGTGAACCTACCAGCAAGGCAGTAGATGTTCTCCAGCTGGAGTTCTTTGGTCTTTAGGGCTGTTTTCCTGGAAATTCTTTGGAGACTCTTAAGACTCTTTGGAGTTCTCCCCCGGAAGGTCTTAAGGGTTGAAGCTTTTGTACAGGGGAAGCTTGCACACATCCTATACATAAGCTTACCTTGCTGAGACTAACTAAAAATGGCTCCCTTCCCTTCCCAATTGCCCTGAGCAAGGGGCGGGACCAAAACTTAACAATGATGGACAGGTGACTTGCCCTATGACTGCAACCAAAGAAGCCACCTATCTGCAGAGTCCCTGAAACCTAGGACTGCAAGCAAACATTTAATACAAAGCAAATAAAGTTGGAGCTCCTGGTACAGCTGTACCAGAACAACTACATCGGCTATTGCTGCAAGTAATGACAGTGTGAATAAATTGCTAATATTTGCTTGAGATAGTGCTTGCAGTTCTGGAGGGACTCTTGATTTTTTGCATCTCATAGACTTAGCAGCATGGGGATTGGTTAACCAGTTAAAATTCATGAGTAAACCAGGTTTTTTAAAAAAATCTGAAACATTTCGGGGGGGGGGTTGAACCCCTAAAACCACCCCCTCGCTACAGGCCTGCTGGGACTGACTTCCTGTTTATACGTCACATAATCCTAGACACTTGGGAAGGATCTGACAAAAAGCCAATCATGCAGACAAAATATATCAAGACAAACACATGGTACATATAATTAAAACAAGATAAAACACATTATCAGTGTCATACCCAAATCAGTTCTATCATAAAAATACAGAAAAAGTGCAGCATGTTTTGCTCTAATTTTTCAATGCATGTCTCCTCAAGTCTCAACCAATTCAACCTAGTTTGTGGCAGCCCACCTTGAGCTCTGGTTGGAAGGGACTGAACAAATAAACAGCAACAAAAAGCAGTGTAGATCCAACCTGAGTCACTTGAGATGGTCAGCACTGACCACTAGAGAGCAGCAATTGCACTATGAAAGGATTCAAAGAATTCTGCCAATCTGTTTTGGCACAAAAAGTTATAAATAAAGGTGTTTGGTTACTTGGTTACATCGGTTTTAACTTATAAATCCCTATACTGTTCCGGCCCAGTTTACCTGTTCAAACGTATTCTCCCCTATGAACCATCAAGGACGTTAAGATCTTCCGGAGAGGTGCTGCTCTTGGTCCCACCACCTTCGCAAGCGCGTTTGGTGGGAACGAGAGACAGGGCCCCCTCTGTGGTGGCCTCTCAGCTATGGAACTCTCTCCCAAGCGAGATTAGATCTGCCCCCTCCCTTTTGTCCTTCAGGAGGCTAGTGAAATCCGGGTTATGGAATGAAGCATTCCCAGAATAATGGCTGAGACTGGTTACAGACCAAAGTGGGTGTCCACATACGCGGACTGAGTTGAGCATGATTTTACTTTGGCGATTTGGTATACATGTATTTTAATGTTGTATTGTTGTATGATGTTTTCTCACCCACTACGGAGGTGAGAAATCGGGATATAAAAGTTTTAAATCAATAATAATAAATAATAAATTGTTTGTTATAAGTTGTTGTAAACCGCGTTGAGTCGCCGGCTAGGCTGAGAAACGGCGGTATACAAGTATAGCAAATAAAATAAATAAATAAATAAATAAATATTGGACCCTCCAATTTCCCCATGCCTGCGTTACACCCTTGATACTAATAGGAAAAACAATACATTTACAGTTTTTGTGGACATTCCATTCCCAAGGAAAGGAGACAACTATGTGAGCAAAGCAATGTTCCAAAGACTTTTACCGTAACTGGGCTTAAAGCCAACCTTAAAAACTGTGGCATAGACACTGAGAACTGGGAAGCCCTGGCCCTTGAGCGCGCCAGCTGGAGGTCAGCTGTGACCAGCAGTGCTGTAGAATTTGAAGAGGCACGAATGGAGGGCGAAAGAGGGAAACACGCCAAGAGGAAGGCTCTGTCATTAAAACTTGTAAAAAGTTGATTAAACTGCCCAAACATTCTTTTCGGGAACCACCCTGTAGCATATTTTGCTCTAGTTTTTCAATGAAGATCTCAAGTCTCAACCCATCCAACATAGTTAATGGCCACAGAAACAAAGCTTTTGGATTAGAACAACTACTTTCCAAATAAACAGTAAAGGTAAAGGTTTTCCCCTGACATTAAGGCTAGAGGTTGGTGTTCATCTCTATTTCTAAGACGAAGAGCTGGCGTTGTCCGCAGACACCTCCAAGTTCATGTGGCTGGTGGTATCGAGCTGCTTTTAGGATGATCTCCCTGAGAGAGAGAGATCCCTGAGGACTGCACCAAAGAGAGTCCTTAATAAACCTTGGTGAGGCCAGAGAAAGCCAATTTCAGCAATAAAAAAATATTTAAAATAATAAATCCTCACCAAAGCGGAAGAAGTTTTTTTCAAGCGACCGAGGTGTTTTATTAGCGATTCAGCTGATATCGGATGCATTGCAGGAATCATTCCACCACAAGCATGCCGGAGCACAGTGATGCAGGCATATTTATACAATTTTTGAAAACCCAGAGTTCAAACTTCCCGCCCCGGCTCCTCTGATGTTCCCCGCTGTGATTGGGCAACAGGGCAGGCAGCTGGGGAGGAGCCTCCCATCCCCTGGGCTCCTGGACCAATCAGGGAGCTTCAGGGGCGTGCTGGATCCAAGGGGGAGGGCTCCTGTCGCCCGCCGGCCAGCGAATCAGAAGAGGGGAGGCGGGACGACAGAACACAAAGAGAGTTCATGAATGGGTCAATGGAAACTGGCCATGTGCTCAGCGAAACAAAGGAAAAATGTCTCCAGCCGATGCAGCTTAATGTCCTTTGAGGGGTTTTGGTGAGGGAAACAAACAGGATCAGGCCAAGCGGACCTCGGGGGGGGGGGGGATCAACGCTGCCCTTTGTAAATCAATCATAATGTCCGTATTCCAAATAGACTTCCTCATCTCACTGGACCAACTCCGAGGGCGAGACAGAGGAAACCATAAATGGCTATATTGTCCATGCCTTATGAGTCAATCAAAAATGAGTTCCGAGGGAGGCAGGGGGTCTCCCTCGGGCATTTCCACATTTCCTGGTCACTTTTAGTAGGGCAAAAGTCAAGGGGGAAAGGGGGAAACAAACTACATTTCATACAATAATTTCTTATACAAAGTTCATATAAAATTTCCCTTCCCACCCCACATCTTTATTATTTTATTACAATATTGATTTATTAAAAGAACTGGAAATCCCATGCCCCTGGGGAAGGTTTGTGGAAGCGGAGGTGGCTTGCAGTCCAAGTCAGGCAGCAAAGAGTTATTTCTCTTGGTAGAAGTCAGCGGATGGGCGCTGAGTTGATAGATAACATGATCCATCGCTCGGTCCTTGGGGGAACTACAACTCTCACAAAGGGCAGAAGTCCCAAGATCCAGCCATTTCCCAAAAGCCTTGTGGGGTCCTTGTTGTTGTCAGTGCCTTGGCAATGTGACCAAGACTTAACCCTTGTTGTGTAGTCTGGTGACCTTGCCCTTTGCAGAACTATAAGTTCTTATCCCTTAATTCTGTGGGGGGGGGGGGGGTGCTCGACATCCCTGGCATGACTGCATGGAGCGCTGTTTACCTTCCCACCAAAATGGTACCTATTGATCTACTCACATTTGCAAGTTTTCAAACTGCTAGGTTAGCAAAAGCTGGGGCTAACAGCGGGAGCTCACCCCGCTCCCTAGATTCGAACCGGTGACCTTTCAGTCAGCAAGCTCAGCAGCTCAGCAGTTTAACCCACTGCACCAATAAGGACCATGCATTTAAATAGGAAAAAGTGCTTACAAACTAAGAAGATATTTCAAATCTTACTACATAAACTAGCCATCCCTTGCCACGTGTTGCTGTGGCCCAGTCTGTCGGTAGGCTGTTAGGAATTGTGGGAGTTGGAGTCCAAGATACCTGGAGGGCCGAAGTTTGCCCATGCCTGCTCTAGAGATACCCCACTCCTTTCTCTCCCCTGCTACCCGAAAGCTGTCTTCTCCCCCCACTTCTCTCTTATTTCCCAAACAAGGCCAGGAGCTCGTGCTGGCTGCCAAACCCATCTCGCTTGAGTTGTTAGGCTAAATATTTTGAATGTAACACTTAAAAACATCCCTTGGAACTGGTCCAACCCAGTTTGCCGGCGATCTAGAAAAACACACGTATGCAAAGGGGGTGCTGAGGGTGTTGGGTGTCCATAGGGGGTGCCTGGAGAGCCAGCCTGGTCACCGAGCCCCTCCTAACTCTGCTTGGCACCTCCCTCTGCTTCTCCCTTTCTCCAGTGTGCACAGGTGTGGGTGCCAACCGAGAGGAAGGATGCCAGCCGCAGCACATGGGTGGCCCTGCTTTGCAGCGCACAGGTGACCCATTGCCAGGAGCAGGGCGATGCAGGTGATCCAGCCACCCCTTGGAAGCCAGCCATCCGGTACTTTGGAGAGAGTCAAGGGTCTGCTCCGTTTGGCCCCTTCATGGACCATGGGGCGGAAAAGAGGGCCCTTCTCTCCTGTCTCCTGGGAAGCCTTGCTCCTCTTCCTCGGCATCTTCTGGATGGGTCCCCAGCCGGTCACACCTGAAGGTATTGCACAAATGGATTTTATTATTACAGTCACAGACCATATATGACTTCATCACATGAGAGAATGCATCCACTTCAAATTCCTGCAGAATTCTGGGGTTTGTAGTTCAGGGAGGAGCCTTTAACAGCCCCACAAAATGACAAACCCCAGCATTCTGCAGGAGGGAAGAAACCGGATTTAAAGTGGTCTCATTCTCTAGTGTGATGAAGTACTGTATAAGTACGAGTATAAGCCTAGTTTTTCAGTCCTTTTTTGAGGCTGAAAAAGTCTCCCTCCAATTCCGAGCACAATTCAAAGTGCTGGTTTTGACCTACAAACCCCTATACGGTTCCGGCCTGGCGTATCTGTCCGAACGGATCTCCCTATGCGTCCCACCTCAGAGTCTAAGATCTTCTGGGGAGGCCCTGCTCTCGGCCCCACCTCTATCACAAGTGAGATTGGCGGGGATGAGGAGCAGGGCCTTCTCGGTGGTGGCCCCTCACCTATGGAATTCACTCCCCGGGGAAATTAGATCAGCGACATCTCTCCTTTCCTTTAGAACAGTGGTTCTCGACCTTCCTAATGCCGCGACCCCTTAATACAGCGCCTCATGTTATGGTGACCCCCAACCATAAAATCATTATCATTGCTACTCCCTAACGGTAATTGTGTTACTGTTATGAATCATAATGAAAATATCTGAAATGCAGGATGTATTTTCATTCACTGGATCAAATTTGACACAAATACCCAATAACAGAGCTCCATGCAGTCATGTTGGCCTTGGAGGTGTCAATGGACAACACCAGCTCTTTGGCCTAGAAATTGAGCACCAAGCCCCAGAGTTGGACACGACTGGACTTAATGTCAGGGGAAAACTTTTACTTTACCTTACCCAATATGCCAAATTTCAGTACTGGTGGGGTTGGAGGGAGAATTGATTTTGTCATTTGGGAGTTGTAGTTCCTGGGATTTATAGTTCACCTACAATCAATGAGCATTCTGAACCCCACCAACGATGGAACTGAACGAAACTTGGAGCACATGACCAAGAGAAAATACTGGAAGTGTTTGGTAGGCATTGACCTTGAGTTTTAGAGTTGTAGTTCATCTGCATCCAGATACCACTGTGGACACAAACAATGATGGATCTGGATCAAACTTGGCATGGATACTCAATATGCCCAAATGTGAACACTGGTTGAGTTTGGGGAAAATAGACCTTGACATTTGGGAGCTGGTTGTTGCTGGGATTTATAGTTCACTTACAATGAAAGAGCATTCTGAATTCCGTCAACGATAGAATTCGGCCAAACTTTCCACATAGAACCCCCATGACCAACAGAAAATATTGTGTTTTTTTATTGTCTTTGCTGACCCCTCTGATACCCCCTGGCGACCCCCTCAGGGGTCCCGACCCCCAGGTTGAGAAACACTGCTTTAGAAGGAAATTAAAAACATGGATTTGGGACCAGGCAATCTGGCAGATAAATAAAGGACTACGACGAGGGATAGGAATAGACAATGTGGAATGAAATATGGACTCTGAGTTGGCGAACGCTGAGCATGAGATTGGTTTATTGATTGTGATATATATTGATTGTTTTAATTGTTTTAATTGTTATAACTGTTTAATTGCTGTTTTTATACGTTTTTGTATTATTGTGTAGGCATCGAATTGTGCCTGTTTGTAAGCTGCCCTGAGTCCCCCCTCGGGGGTTGAGAAGGGCGGGGTAGAAGTACACGGAATAAATAAATAATAATAAATTATACTCGAGTCAAGGTTTTTTTATTATTTTACTCTATTATTATTATTATTATTATTATTATTATTAGCCATCCCCTGCCATGCGTTGCTGTGGCCCACTCTGGTGTTCTGTGTGGGAGGTCTGGCCCAATTCTATCGTTGGTGGGGTTCAGAATGATCTTTGATTGTAGGTGAACTATAAATCCCAACAACTACAACTCCCAAATATCAAGATTCTATTTTCCCGAAACTTCACCAGTGTTCACATTTTGGCATATTTTTATTTATAACTAGCTGTCCCCTGCCATGCGTTGCTGTGGCCCACATGGGGGTTCTGTGTGGGAGGTTTGGCCCAATTCTATCCTTGGTGGGTTTCAGAATGATCTTTGATTATAAGTGAACTATAAATCCCAATAACTACAACCCCCAAATATCAAGAGTCTGTTTTCTCCAAACTCCTCCAGTGTTCACAATTGGGCATATTGAGTATTCATGCCAAATTTGGACCAGATCCATCATTGTTTGAGTCCACAGTGCTGTCTGGAAGTAGGTAAACTACAACTCCAAAACTCAAGGTTGATGCCCGCCAAACTCTTCCAGTATTTTCTGTTGGTCATTAGAGTTCTGTGTGCCAAGTTTGGTTCAATTCCATCGTTGGTGGAGTTTGGAATGCTCTTTGATTGTGGGTGAACTATAAATCCCAGCAACTACAACTCCCAAATGACATCAGTCCCTCTCCCAACCCCACCAGCATTCAATATTGAAAACACATCCTACATATCAGATAGTTACATTACAATTCATAACAGTAGCAAAATTACAGTTATGAAGTAGCAACAAAAATAATTTTATGATTGGGGGTCACCACAACATGAGGAACTGGATTAAGGGGTCGCTGCATTAGGAAGGTTGAGAAACACTGTTTTAATAGCACCACAAAATGACAAACCCCAGCATTCTGCAGGAGGTAGAAACCGGATTTAAAGTGGTCTCATTCTCTAGTGTGATGAAGTAGTAATAACCTCATCACACTAGTGAAAAAATGCACTTTAAATCCAGTTTCTGTCTCCTGCAGAATTTTGGGGTTTGTAGTTTAGGGATGAACCTTTAACAGCCCCAGTGGATTCATTCTGCAGTGTGATGAAGTAGTACTTACTTACTTAGGCGATCCCTAAGTAAGTAAGTACTACTGACAAACTTTTACATCCCTTTTGCATCCCTTGTCTCTGAGCCTCATAATATTAGGACCTGGTAATAGTGTAGTGATGTGAAAACAACAATAACAACAACAACAACCATATTTCTTCGCTTCTCCCTGGGACTCAAGTTTGAGTGCCGGACTATCACTCTAGGGACCATTGTTTGAATCCAAACTGAGCCTTCAAAACCCATTTAGTGGACTTTGGCAAGTATTTACTTACTTAGGCAATCCGTCGTAGTCTGAGGATGATGGTCTTCCAAGTGTGGGTCCATAGGTGACTGTGGAGCCCTATTCTTGATCTGCATGTTCTCCCACAATGAGGGCATCGGTTTCCAGGTAGAAGGCAGTCCCGGTTGGGGATAGCTTGATGCGCCTTCCTCTTGGTACATTTCTCTCTTTCACCCTCCATTCGTGCTTCTTCAAATTCTGCAGCACTGCTAGTCACAGCTGACCTACAGCTGGAGCGCTCAGGGCTTCCCAGTTCTCAGTGTCTATGCCAGAGATTTTAAGGTTGGCTTTGAGCCCATCTTTCAATCTCTTTTCCTGTCCACCAACATTCTGTTTTCCGTTCTTGTGTTCGGAGTAGAGCAAGTGCTTTGGGAGACAGTGGTCGGGCATTCGGACAACATGTCTGGTCCAGCGGAGTTGATGGCGGAGGACCATCGCTTCAATGCTGGTGGTCTTTGCTTCTTCCAGCACACTGACATTTGTCCGCTTGTCTTCCCAAGCGATTTGCAGGATTTTCCAGAGGCAGCGCTGATGGAATCATTTTAGGAGTTACATGTGACGTCTGTAGATAGTCCACGTCTCGCAGGCGTATGAAGTAGTAGTAATAATAATAATAATAAATTATTATTATTAATAATAATAATTAATAAATAATAATAATTATTATTATTATTTATTTGTACCCCGCCACCATCTCCCCTATGGGGACTCTGAGCGGCTTACATGGGGCCAAGCCCAAACAACAAATTACAATAAAGAGAACCAAAAACACAACCGAAAACGCAAAGAATAAACAACATCATAATTACATAAAATATATGAACACATACCAATATAAAAATTTCAATAGACACCTCATCACGCTAGTGAAAAAATCCACTTAAAATCCGGTTTCTGCCTCCTGCAGAATTCTGGGGTTTGTAGTTTAGGGAGGCGTCTTTAACAGCCTCTATGAACTACAAATACCAGAATTCTGCAGGAGGCAGAAACCAGATTTTAAGTGGGGGTTTTTCTTTAGTATGATGAGGTCGACAGACCATAAAACTTGAAAACTTTGAATTTTTAAAGTGTTAATATAAGTGTTTTAAAAGTGTTAATATAATACTTCCCTGCTTCATTACATTGAAGCAGGGAAGTATTTATCATAGAGCTCAGTCATACTCTGTTTTGAAATGAAATGGATGGTTTTCTTACCTTCATCACACTGTTCAATCTATCCATGTTACTTAGTTGTACTCTGTAGTCTTCAGGTGAACTACAACTCCCAAAATATCAAGGTGGATTCCCCCTAAACCTCTCCAGAATATTCAGTTAGTCAGAGGCCTTCTCTGTGCCTGGTTTGGTCCCGGTCCATTGTCGGTGGGGGTCATAGTACCTCTGGATGTCGGTGAACTACAGCTCCCCAAAATCAAGGTCAATTTTCCCCAAACCTCTCCAGTATATTTAATTGGTCGGGGGGCTTTTCTGTGCCTAGTTTGGTTCCGGTCCATTGTTGGTGAGGGTCATATTACCTCTGGATGCAGGTGAACTACAACACCCAAAAATCAAGGACAATTTTCTCCAAACCTCTCCAGTATATTTAATTGGTCAGGGGGCTTCTCTGTGCCTAGTTTGGTCCCGGTCCATTTTGGTGGGGGTCACAGTATCTCTGAATGCAGGTGAACTACAACTCCCAAAAATCCAAGTCAATTCCCCTGAAACCTCTCCAGTATGTTCAGTTGGTCATGGGTCTTCTCTGTGCCTAGTTTGGTCCTGGTGAATTGTTGGTGGGGGTCATATTACCTCTGGATGCAGGTGAACTACAACACCCAAAAATCAAAGTCAATTTTACCCAAACCTCTTCA